TCTCAATGTCTCTTGTTCTTATTTTTATTTATTGTTTTGTTCCAGCTCTGCCAAATCAGTCCTAACTTCCGAGAGATTTGTGGAAGGTGCCAGTGAAGGGTGCCAATGTGTGAGGTGGTGCCAATTTGCTCCTTTTTTACCTTTGACGCGTTTGAAGTTCGTTCAACAACCTCCCACGGTCCCGACCACCGGGGATCAGCCCACTTTCTTTTGTGAACTTTCACCCTCACCCAATCATCTGGCCGAACAGGAGTCTCTTCTGGTGTTTCCTCTGGTATCTCTGCAGTTTTCTGAGCCTGTGTAGACAAAACTTGGATAATATTACTCAGAGCTCTGACATATTCATCCACTTCTATTTGTCTAATATCTAAAACTGGACCACTCCCTCCTTATCTAGGAGGCCCAGGCTTTGGTCTACCAGAGGCCCAGGCATTGGTCTACCAGTTACTTTTGTTGTTCTGAGACCTATTGTCTACAGAATTTTATTATTTATTAATATTTATTAACTACAACGTCATATAATTCAATTCTCTGATAATCATTACATTCCCTCCTTTGAGCATAAAATGCTCAATTAACATTACAATGATTGTCCTATCATGAATAAACAAGGAAAACTCATAACCTTGCATTTAGTAAATATAAATTCTCCGTGTGCCCACAAGGCTACACATAGTAGTTTTGCAGCTCATGCCTTAAAACAGAAGCTATAAAAAGATTTGTTATGTAAAATAAGCGATTCTAACTTTTTTACATCAACCTAGATTAGTTTGAATATGTTTCCCACTTTGACTGAATCTATGTGGAAAGTGGGTACAAATGAATTCTGTGGTATGATTTCATAATTGTTTTACTATAAAGAGAACTATAGTTCAAAAACGCATGAAGTTCCCCTTAAACACAGCCCCTGTCTCCTGAAGGGATCTATTATGTGCTGGATGGTCAATGTTGTGTCAGTTTCTGTCGCTGTGTCACTGTTCTCCCGCTAACATTCACTCTCTAGTTCTGCTGGGTTCTTGTTGATTTCTTCACTGGTTTGAGACAAGTGGCCCTATCGGTAACACCTCCCTTTGTAGCCAGACTTCACCACAGCAGATTTGAGTTTCTGTCTTTTAGGTCTCAACAGCACCACGGTCAGGTATATCTTCGCCCCTTGAACTGCAGTCAGTGTAAACAGGAGGACTTGTTAAGGACCCTCCCTCTTGGGCGAGTGCCAGGTTTTCCTCTTCATTATTTGGATGAAAACCCATCGTCTTGACCTCACTAGCTGTGTGGACACAATAGTTTTCCGTTTGTTTTCCTCAATCAACTGGTTGGATTTACTGGTTAGGATTCTCACCTCATACTCCAATTCTTTGGCACTTCTAGCTGTGGGGACTCCCTCCAAATCCAATAGTCCTCCCAGAACACCAAAACTTGGGGCTTGAATTGAAGGTTGGGAAAAAGGGTTGTTCTCTGATATGTAGGGAGGTGGCGCTTCGGTCAGGCTTGGATACAGCTTCGGGGTTTGGATAACTGGAGCCTCGTCTGTTTTTTCTGCTGTGTCTTCCTTTACTGGCAGATCTGCTGCTTGAACCACATATATGCTGTCTGTCAATCCTTGGCTGGCATATTTCAGATGGAGTACTAGACTTGTAACTCTTGTTTTTCTTTTTTCTTTCTTCAGATTTGCCCCAGTTTGCGACTCTTACAACCTCAGATCCAGTGCCTGGATACGGTTCCAGGTACCTGCTGTGCGGACTGAGGCTGGAAAAAGGAGTCTTTTTTATTATGGTCCTTGGTCTTGGAATGACCTTCAATCAAGCCTAAAACTGATGGCACTTGTCTCTATATCATGTTTTAAATTGAAGTTGTCTGAAGTCCTCACCACCAGCTGCTCTTGCAGTAACAAGTAGTGTACCTTTCTTACTGTCCTAATGTGCACAATGCAGTGACTGCTTTTTCGTCTTTGGTTTTCTTAGTTATGTTCTCTGTATTTTATATGTTTGTGTTATGTGTTATGTGTAACGTTGCTGCCTTCTTGGCCAGGTCAGCATTGAAAATGAGATTTTATCTCAATGTTTTTTATCTGGTTAAATAAAGGTTAAATTAAAAAATTAAAAAAATGTTCAGCTATGTTCATAGCGTTTTGTTCAGATCCATACCAAGAGGGTCGTCCGGCTTTCATCCATGCATTTTCCTGTTGTAGGTATTCTCATATTCAATTACAGCTTTTCTATGGGTTCTAGTTCCAGATCCTTTTGGTGTGAACGCAAAATCCCAGGAACTATCGGAACTATTCCTGGGAAAAGTACGCCTATTGTCCTGATGCTGTACAAGGGTGGTGCCCCATGATCACAAAATGATCCCTGGGGAGTCTGAGTGCCAATGACCTCATATTACATGTCACTTGTTGGATGCTTTTACCCAAAGCGACTTACATACACTCAATACTGTGGGGCAAAGTGTCTTGCCCAGGGACACAAGGACATACTGGCCGTTTCTCAATGTCGAGTAAAGCTGTTGCAGAGCCACTATTTCAAGTATACTACGTCATCGAGTGGCGCCGAATGCTGGGCATTTAAACAGTCCTTCGGCGCCACTCGATTACGTAGTATACTTGTAATAGTGGGTCTGCAGCAGCTTTACTCGACATTGAGAAACGGCCGCTGACTGCAGTGGGGATTGAACCAGTGCTCCCCTGATCCGAAGATCGGCACACTAACGAATTGAGCCACAGCCTCCCTAGCCATATTATGTCTGTCATTAATGTTACATCACCCCTTATAACAATTGTATTGCCTTTATTCTCTTTTTATCTTCCGTTGACTGAATTTTAAAAGTCCAGTCTTCAAGCAATACCATTTTAAGTCCTTTTCCTGCACCTTTTTAAGGCTATGTTTGCAATATTTATTAAAATGTCACTAGTTATTTAAATAAATCAATATCTGAGGTTAGCAAACATATACTGCCTTTGCCATTGTCACCCATGAAGAATTGATCCCCCTGCAAATATCTTCATCTGATGTATTAATCAAATTGCCACGTGTTTTCAAATTGAAAACTAGGGACTATCAGCCCAGAACATTATACAAAAATATTTTTTTTTAAAGGGATCCGTAAGGCGAAATCAATGATATATATGTATCTTTATATAATATCAATATTATAATTAATTTCAACCAAAGTCATTTTCAGGTGTGGTGTTTGACATGTGTAATATATTTTGCATTTTGTACTCATTTGTAGCCAATTTGGACAACTATGTTTCGCAAGAAAAATATCCTTTGATTGCATTATGGTGTGAATATATATACCCTACTAACTCACTGTTATTTTAGGTAAAATTTATATTTTAAATTTAATGTAAAAGCCAACTCAATAGTGTATTAAAAATAGACAAAAAACAGCTATATAATGTATTCTTAACCCTCCTATATCTTCACATTTGCTTTACACCCTCTATTGGGGGTCATTTTGACCCCAGGAGTTTAAACCTCAAGAAAATGATCATATTAAAAATTGTTACCAAAATATATGTTTCAGGTGCTTTATGTTTCTTTATCTAAATATTCATTTAAAGTGGACCTATCATGCTATATTTTAATAATATATTGTAGGGCCATACCTATATAAGGTATATTTATACGTTTCTGTTTTCAAAATACCAAACAGATCATGCATTTTAGCCATGCCTCATTTCGCTCTATTTGCTGTTTGCTGTCTACGGGGCTGATTCTGTGAGCTGCAGCTGACCACGCCCCCCTGCAGGAGAGGGGAGCCGTGCTCTGATGAAGTCAGAAGAGGGGGAGAAAAAGAGATCTCCGTGTTTTATTATATAGAGTCGTTATTAATTTGTTTTAAAGCTCAATAAATAACAAAGAAGACCTTTGACCGGCACTTTTCTAATTTTGTCCGGAAGATTTAAACTTTAACGGACATCTTGACCGGCGAAAGAAACTGAAACTCTGCCGCACGGTCCCCTCGTTCCTTGGAAGAGGCGGAGAGGTGGGTGTTTGTCATCTGCTGGTGGACTAACCAGAGAGAATTACAGTGCTTGCCTCGACGGGGAGGGATTGCATTGAATTAAAGCAGTGGGAGCAAACGCTTGCCTCGGGGAGGGAGAAAAAAAGCCACAGCGGAGAATAAACAGAAGGGTAACCATGGTAACCATGCGCGGGAAGTCTTCTTCGCTGCTTTTGTGGCAGACTACAGCGCCACTTACAGGCCTGGCATATGTACTACAGCGTCTCCAGCGCTTTCGAGAGGCAATGGCCTCTGATAGGTGCAGAGTTGGCCCAATAGCCGTATAGCGCCACTGTCCTGACGTCAGTAAAGTGTTCAAATCTGGATCATTTTTCATCAGATCCGTTGCAGCCCCTTTTTTAGAGATTTGGGTATGGAGGAAAATAGAGAGGGTTGTGTTTTCTGACACTTGGTGAGTTCCCTGGAACACCGGGGACACATATTCATGTATAAAAGACGTACAAAAGTACATTTTGCATGATAGGTCCCCTTTAAATAAAACACTACTCCAACCTCCCCCTCCACTTACAGCATTAGCAAAAGTATTTTAATCCCTCGTCTTAATTGGCAGAAGTGGCTAATTCTAGGGGACACAGTATAACTCAAAAAAGTACACAGTAAAAGTACTCTTAAGTAGCATTGTATTTTTGGTAGTTAACTAGTATTGAGTCCAACATTATCAGTCTCATGAAGAACGTATGGCCAAAAACAATGTTATCGCTCATCAAAGATAGCAGAAGTGTGTTATTTTTGCACCGTCTAAAAGCAAAGATTATGAACCTATACCTAAGTACAGCGCAAACATGGGGCAAACTAGCCAATCAGAAGCAAGGGTGCCCTGGAGACGCACCCACCTATGGAAACGAAACATTGAGTGGTATACTTGTTTTAACAGTAAGAACTAAATTGGGGAAAAATTGAAAAACAAAAAAACTACCCGTTTCTGTTTTTGTTTTGTTTCAATTATACCAAAAAAACAGACCGTTGCAACGTACCTTCGTCGCCAGAGTACCGTGTTTATTAAATGTCTTCAATATGAAATATTGTATTTACACTGTGCATATCTTTGATATTCATCTTGTTCATACAGTGGATACATGTTACTTGATAGGGCTCCTTGTTGTTTCTGAGGTAAGAGATTTTCTTTCTTTTTTGTCTTTGAGCACACATATACACAATATAGATAAAACACTGTAGTCCTATGTGCCCAAATATAGTTAGATTCAGTGTTTCTCAATAAGTGTGTCGCTGAAGTCTAACAAATGTGTTGAATATATTTACCTTCTCAGAGTTTCATTATTTATTATTTCATTCTTCAAATCATGTTTTATTTACATCCATGTTTGCTGTCCTTCAGTATTGGAGTATTTGCTTGCTGTGCTGCCTGTGTACAGAACTTTGCATGTGCATCAAAAAGCGTTGCTCTATTTAACTACTACTACTATGCATGAACCTGTAAACTGTTGCATTTTCAAGTTTGATAATTCAATTTAATTGTTTTATTAGCATTAGCAAAATCAATGCGACATCAATACAAACATTCATCTTAATATAAACACACACACACACCAATAAAATTAGTCTGAAACAAACTGAGGAGGTAGGGGGACAGTTCGCCTTTACCGCTCCATCTTCTCACTCTTCCAAGGCTGCTGCTCAGTATAGTCGGTTCTACACACACAAAGAAAAAGAGTCAGATTGTATAAAAGTCTATAGGAAAATAATCTTACTTCTCACATGATTTATTACTTCAGGAAATATTTAAAGGTCCCATGACATGGCCATTTCTACTGATCATAATTCCATTGTTGAGGTCTACTAGAATAGATTTACATTGTTCAATGTTCCAAAATCACATTGGTTTCTCATACAGCATCTCTGTATAGTATGTGTATTCACTCTCTGTCCTAAACGGCTTGTTGGAGCTCCTGCCCCCCCCCCCCCAAACTCAGCCTGAACTCAGCCTGAGCACACACACAAACTCACTGTCTCAGGCCCCGGCTCCACGGGAACGCATACGGCAAAACGCATCGGAGTAACGCAAACGCAACCGCAAAAGACCTTCCGCCCACACGCAATATACACCGGATTGTGTCAAGCTCCACGAGACGGCTCCGTTTACATCCAACCGCTGGAAAAGCTGCAGTACATATGCCGAACCTGTACGTGGCGCTGTAACTTCCTCCACAAAAAGCAGCAACTTCCTCCACAAAAGCAGCGAAGAAGAATGGTTGTCATGGCTGCACTTCTGTTTATTCTCCGCGGTGGGGGCCGAGGGAACCGCGCAGAGTTTTTCGCCGGTCAACGTGTGTTAAAGTTTAAATCTTCCTCATGCAGCAGCTGATCCAGTAAGTAAACCCGACAGTAAAAATGAACATATTTATAACTAGTTTAGGTAGTTTGAGAGGTAATTAAAATAGCTAAGGGTGGTGATCTGACTTGAAGTGTGTGTTTTGCTCCCGCTGCATCACAGCGGGAGGAGCTGCGTGTCTCCGTCCTGTCAGATTAGACTTCACTCGCGTTTATGTCCATATTGAGATAAAGATAAATAATCTGAATTCAGTGTGCAGTGTACTTTTGCGGGGGTGAACAGCAGAGGTGGGGAGAGGCGGGGCTATTGAGTCGTCATTATCACAAACGGATGACCGTATAGGCGACCACACGGCCCCGTTGGACCCCCCAGAGCGCTCCGTTCCCAGATCTATCCACCTTTGCACCCGTTGTCGTTTGCAGGGTCTGTTTCTACGTTTCCGTTACGGCGTCGTCGATCTTAAAGGGCTATACGCATGAGAAATATGCGGATTCAACCCGTTTTCGTTCCCGTGGAGCCTAGGCCTCAGGCTGAGTTCAGGCTGAGAAATCCGCGGAGCAGCGGCTGAGAAAAGATAAGGCTGAGTGAGTGTGTGTGTGTGAGGTCACCATACTCAGGAAGAAAAAAATGGAAAACTAAAAATCTCCAATGAGGCGTTCTGGGGCAGCATAGACAGGTCTTTTCTGTGTTAGAGTTTTACTCGCTACAGGGTGTACTTTGAGGGTTTGTGACTTTGCAGACCGTTTACGGGTAATAACCGGAAAAGCATGACATGGGACCTTTAACTGTTGTGATTATGGTCTCAATTATAATTTAAAGTCTTCAATACAGAATGATGTTGGCTTCGTAAATGATGCTCCCATTTAGAAAAAGATAGTGTATGCTTTAAAGGTCACCTATTATACAAAATCCACCTTTACATGTCTTTTATACATAAATATGCGTCCCCAGTGTCTTAACCTGTTAAGCCCTGAGCCTGTTTTTCAGGTCTCAGGCTCGAAAATGACATTCCCAGAACAAATGACCATATCTTCCCTTCTAAAAGGGTTAAATTAATAATCTTTTTTCTCAAAGTAATGATAAACCTGTGAGTTGGATGTAGAAAAGTCAGAATCAATATAGATGTTTTTTATTTTAAAGAAAATTCAGATTTTACATAGTAAAAAACTGTAAATTATAGTGTCCGTCCAAAAATTATATTTTACTTATAGTGAAAACTACCCTTGGATGATGGTAAGGTAGACTAAAAGCTTTAGGAATCCAAAGTACAACATATAATAAGTACCCTGTATCAAGATTGATGCAAAACAAGTGACATTTGACCTTTTTAGAGAGGTTTAGCCAAAAGAAACCACTTCTGGGGTCATTTGGGTGGATTTTCCATATCTCTGGCCCCCCTTGCTCGATTTTGATGGTTGACACCTCTTTCTGACCGTTAGAGCCAATACAATCAAAGGGGGAGTCCCCCACACACACTCATTGTGAAAAGAAAAGGTGGGGGCTTCGCGCATGCAGTTTTGCATCAGAGCGAACCTATCTTTAGCTCTGACATCTGGAAACGGAAAAGCAGTTTTATTGCTCATGGATTATCAGAAATCATTTCAAAGGGACACAGACACATTGGATTAACCTATGGATTAACTTCAGCAGCGTTTTTATCGTTTTAATGCCATTGAAGACCACTTTGGAGAGACTACAGAGCCAAGGTAAAAATGTTAGCATTTTTAGCTACCTAGCGTCACCTGTTTTGATGTCCGTTTTTGCTTATAACGTCGCAAATACGTATAATTCAGTGATAATGAGGGTACCCATAGATTCTGTGTCACCTCTCGATGTGAAACGATGTCATAGATGTAGAGAAAAGATAAATAATAAGGTTTTGTGAGTGATTTTCAGTGCAGTAATCTGTTAGCATTTTTCGCTCGTTGCTAATTCAGAGGCTCAGTGTTAGCATTGTGGGTCTTCTTTTGAAAAAAAAAAAAAAATGATCAGTTAGATGAGTTTCTTCCCGTTACATGGATATAAAACATTCATAGTTTATTAAATGAACATGCCCTCAGACACTGTTTCCTGCAAGATGTTGCGGCAGTGCCCCGGTACCGGGGTCTCTCGGGCTTAACAGGTTAAGAGATTCAGAAAGTTTCAGAAAAAAACAATGTCTCTCTTTCACTACTGATCCATTTATATAAAAACCTGTCTGATAATTAGCTGATCAGATTTGGCAATGGTGTGACATCACAACACACGCCCACCTTATAACCTAAATCTACTCCTAGAGCACTATTGTGGTTTTTTTAACCAATCGATTCACAGAGGGGTGTGGCCAGCAGCAGCGCATTACCATTTAAAGCTACAGACACAGAATCAGCAGTTTTGAAACGTGTCTGAAACAGAGGGGTTTATGGCAACTGTTAGAGCCATTTTCATTGAGTTATTATTGTCTGATAGTTAGGCTTGATAATAATATAAATTAGATTAAACTCACCATCTAAAGGTATTTTCGTGAGTCATACTATGGTTTAAAATGTATTAATTTAAGGCTCACTTATTATTTGTTATATGTGCGTCAGTATCACGTGCATGGCTATATGCCTATATATGGTAGGTTGATAGGACACAGCTGATGTTGATGAGACGGGGAAACGGAAAAGTCTTTTGACCGTGTTCTTTTTGTTTTTTTAGAGACTGTTAACTTTGATTTAGTATGAAGCGAAGAAATGTGTCCTGCTGTTTATATGCCGTCTGGACTAACGAATAAAGCTCATCTGATTCAACCACGTTCTCAGCTCATTTGTTTGGAAACAAAGAGAGGCACGTCAAAACCCACAACCCCGATAGAGGTGGCTATTAAATTGTAGACAAGGATTAAAACGCCACCACATTAGTCAAAAGACTTCGTAAGCTGTGGATAAAAACTTTGAAGGACAAGCACAGGATTCGTGTGGATTTCAGCTCTGCTTTGAAAACAGCGATCGGACGTTCTAAAGTGCCGTGAGGAGGAGGCCGTGAGTAAACCATGCCGGCCCGGAATCTATGAATGAAACGCTGTGTACATTTATATTTACATTTAAATAAATAATATCAAAATAATAAATACCAATAAAAAAGATCAACAAATATTTTGGTGCGCACTTCAACAAGCTACTAAACATATATAAATATGATAAATAAATTAGACTATAAAATAAATGAGATCAAATATGTTGCAGTGCACTGTCACAACCTAGCAAAGCAAAATAATCGTTTTTTTCGATTATGTTGTTTTTGTAATTGTGGCAGGCCAAAATCGTAATTGCGATTAAAAAACGATTACTTGCACAGCCCTAGACTGATGTGTGCATAGTTACGGATGTTTGACAAAACGAAACGGGAAATCCATCCAGTGATATCATGATGCTTACTGGGGATGATATGAAATGAAGATAATCCGCAATTGCTGTTGGAATGCTTAAACAATGAAATGCATGAATGAACTATCACGCAGTTAAGGAAGCGGACGTTAAAGGAATGTTTGGCACAAAAACAGGATTCACGAAGAACTGTTCTTGGAAATATTAATGACTTTATTTCATGTGGATTAATTGAAGAAAAAACAACAAAAAAAAGAAACAATGGATCCTGATATTCCTCCAGCTGATGTTGCAGCGGCAGAGGAGAGATTTAAAACTCTCAGCCAATCACGAAGAGGAAAACTTGGAGCATGCACCCGCAGAATGAATGAAATTAAACCATTACTGGTGCGAGGTGGAAATATGGAAAAGGTGGATGAAGCTGTTGCAACGTTCAAGATGTTACTCAATGAATTTATTGAGTGTCATGGACATGTTCAAATGCTTTTATCTGAGGAAATAAGGGAAACTGAGAGAATGGATTGGTATGAACCAAAAATGTCTGCATTCACGAATTTCCTTAAGGATGTGGAAATGTGGAAAAGCTCTCAAATGGATCCTCAGATACTGATTGAACCCCATGACAGTGTTTCCAATGCATCACACAGGAGGAGCTCAAAAGCAGGATCAACAACTTCTTCTGCTTCCTCAACCCACCTCAAAATAGCCACAGACAGAGCTGCCCTCCTTGCCCGGGCAGCAGGATTAAAGGAAAAGCATGCACTTGAAATGGAAAAGGCTCAACAGCAAGCTAGATTCGAACGGATGGAAATGGAAGCCAGCCTAGCTGAATCTGATGCAAAAATGAAAGTTCTGGAGCATTTTGAGACTGGTTCACAAAATCCAACACAAGACGGCATGAATGACTATGTAAAAGACTACAGAGTAAAACCACATATGTCAATGGATGCAGAGCCGTCTCCAATTACCTTTGCTGAGTTTGGAGCCATTCCCAAAACACCACTTCAAAGGCTTCTATACCAACAACCAAGACCACCAGAAAATATTGATAATACAAACCAAAGCCCTCAACACACAGCTAGAGATGCAGGAATTACAGGGACAAATAATAATGACAATTTCCTGACTGTGATGCAAAGACAAAATGACATTGTTAATTTACTTGTACTTCAACAAAAACAAACATCACTGCCCACTAGGGAAATCCCAGTCTTTGATGGCAATCCCCTGAATTATCAAATATTTGTGAGGGCATTTCAACATGGCATTGAGGAGAAAACCACCAGTAACCAGGATCGATTATATTACCTGGAACAATATACTTCGGGATCCTGCAGGGAACTGGTGAGAAGCTGCCTTCATATGGATGCTAATAGTGGCTTTGCTGAAGCTAAGAGACTGCTAAAAGTGCATTTTGGAGATGAGCTCAAGATAGCAAACGCATATATGGGGAAAGCTCTTAACTGGAACACTATAAAGGCAGAGGATGGAAAGTCACTGCACTGTTATGCACTTTTTCTGAGAGGCTGCTGTAATGCAATGAGGGATCTGCAGGACATGGAGGAGCTGGACCTGCCATCCAACCTACGGCTCATTCTTTCAAAGCTACCTTACAAACTAAGGGAGAAGTGGAGAACAGCAGCTTGTGACATTCTGGATCGGAACCATCAAAGAGCAAAATTGCATGACCTTGTTGTATTTATTGAAAGACAAGCTAGAATACTTCAAGACCCTCTCTTTGGTGACATTCACGATCATCAACTTAACAGTACAAAGACTTTCATTACAACTCCTGCTGATTTAAGCCGAAATAAGTGCAAGGGAAGCAGTTTTGCTACCACAGTGGCTATAGTGTCAGACAGCCATGCAGAGAAACCCAAAGAAGACAATTATCTTGTTAAAAGCTACATTTCCTCCACTAACAATGACACCTCATGTACCTTTTGTACCAGCATGCATCCTTTAGCTGAATGCCATACAATACATTCAATATCTCATGAAGCTAAAATTGAGTTTCTGAAAGAGAAAGGACTATGCTTTGGCTGCCTGAAGGTGGGGCACTTGAGCAGGAACTGTAACAGGAGAATGACCTGTCAAATCTGTCATGCTAGACACCCAACTATTCTGCACATTAAAAGATCTTCTAAGCCTGAAACTGAGAACTTTAAAGATGATAAGGCAGAGCAGAAGAGTGGAGGAGCAAGGCCTGAAGAGACATCCATCAGCAGTGCTCTTGTTTCAGTAGGAGAAGGTGAAGGAATCGGGGCTGGTAAAGACAGCATACTTGCCATAGTGCCAGTGAAGGTGAAACTCTGCCATGGAAATAAAAGTATACTGACCTATGCATTCCTGGACCCTGGTAGTACCGACACATTTTGCACAGAGGGGCTCATGAGGCAGCTTGGTGCTAGAAGACGGAGAACTGAAGTCCTTCTTCAAACGATGGGAACAGAGAAAACAGTCAGGAGTTTTGAGGTAACGGGTCTAGAAGTGGGCAATGTGGAAGATGGCACATATATAAAGTTGCCCAAGGTTTACACTCCGAACAAAATCCCTGTTACCAAAAGAAACATTCTTACCCAGGCGGACCTCAAGAAATGGCCTTATCTGCAGGAAATCCAAATAAGAGAATTAGATGACGTGGGACTTCTTATTGGAGTAAATACTCCAAAGGCTATGGAACCATGGAAAGTTATAAATACCCAAGGAAACGGCCCATATGCAGTGAAAACACTGTTAGGATGGGTCGTTAATGGTCCACAGATCCGGATGATGAAACCCCTGTGGCAGTAGTGAACAGGACCTCAATTGTTCACCTTGAGAAGCTTAATGAAAGACAATATATTAATGACTTTCCAGAAAACGAGTATGAAGAGGAAAGACAAATGTCAGCTGATGACCGAAAGCTCCTGCAGAGGAGAGAAAAGAGGAAAGATTGCTCCACTGATCTTGGAGTAAAGCAGGATAAAGGAAAGCGACTGAAGGATCAGATGCTTCTGCTCAAAAGGCCTACAGCTAATGCACTAAGACTTTCAGTAGAGGACACGGAAAATGCTGAAAAGGCCATTATTTGCCACGAGCAGAGACAGCATTTCAAAGAGGATTTTGCCTTGCTGGAAAAAGCCAAACAGTGCAATAGAGGAAGCTCCCTATACAAGCTGGACTCTATCATTGATGCTGGGATTCTGGGAGTTGGAGGAAGAACTACAAAGATGGCTATGCCAACTGACTTCAAACATCCAATGATTCTTCTTAAACATTCTCGTATTTCCAAGTTGATACTAAGCCACATACATCATCAAGTTGGTCACTCAGGTCACATGCTCTCCAAACTCCTTCAACGTTACTGGCTATCAGCTGCAAACTCTTCAGCCAGGAGGCAGGTGCAATACCTTGCTGACCTGTTTTGGAAGCGCTGGACCAGGGAATACCTTCCTTTGATGCAAGAACGGCCCAACTGGAATACTATCAAAAGAAACTTCACCCCCGGAGACCTGGTCGTCATCGTTGATGAGAACGCACCGAGGATCACTTGGCTCCTGGGACGTGTAGTTAAGACCCTTCCTGGATCAACATGACTTGTTAGGAGTGTCCTGGTTAAAACCAAGACAAGTACCATTGAAAGACCCATAACTAAGTTATGTCTGCTCCTGGAGGCAACAGACTGAGCCTACTAAGCCTTAGCCTTTCAGTCACGTGCACCTCTGACTTTTAGACCAAAGGACTAGACTCTTGGTCTCCTACCTCCCCATCAAAGGCTGCCTTTTGAACAGCAGAACATTACAGACAATTAGTACTAGACCTACACATTCAGTACTGGTCTTACTGTGGACTTGAAAGTATGCAACATACTATGGACTTGAAAGTATGCAATATACTATGGACTTGAAAGTATGCAATATACTATGCTACGTATGGATGTTATATGTTTTGTTAAAATGACTCTTGATATATTATAATTGGTAATTGCTATGTAATAAGCAATTAGGGGCTGGTATGTTAGAGCCATTTTCATTGAGTTATTATTGTCTGATAGTTAGGCTTGATAATAATATAAATTAGATTAAACTCACCATCTAAAGGTATTTTTGTGAGTCATACTATGGTTTAAAATGTATTAATTTAAGGCTCACTTATTATTTGTTATATGTGCGTCAGTATCACTTGCATGGCTATATGCCTATATATGGTAGGTTGATAGGACACAGCTGATGGTGATGAGACGGGGAAACGGAAAAGTCTTTTGACCGTGTTCTTTTTGTTCTTTTGGAGACTGTTAACTTTGATTTAGTATGAAGCGAAGAAATGTGTCCTGCTGTTTATATGCCGTCTGGACTAACGAATAAAGCTCATCTGATTCAACCACATTCTCAGCTCATTTGTTTGGAAACAAAGAGAGGCGCGTCAAAACTCACAACCCCGATAGAGGTGGCTATTAAATTGTAGACAAGGATTAAAACGCCACCACAGCAACAATGCATGATCTGTTTGGTACTTTGAGCCAAACACTTCAGAGACATGTTTTCTATACATCTGAGACCTATAATATATACAATTTAAAAAAGTATAATAGGGGACCTTTAAGGCATGGCTACCTTATGATTGACAGGTCACTACCGTGTCTGGTTTGGGTCTTGTCTGTGGTTTTGTCTCAGAACATTAACCCTTTCACTGTGGGTTTTCAGTCCAGGAAAGGTCCAAGTGTCACTCCTGCTTGCCAAAAACAAACCCAAAAGGGTCGAAAGTGGTAACTACGTCATCTTCCTATACACAGTCGATCTGGCCCCAAGGGGTACAGCGATAGACAATAGAATTGTAAGCTAAAAATGCAAATCGATCGAATAAAATCATATCCATTGTATTTAAGTGGGATAAGTCTGTTGGGACTACATTTGATATAAATGAGATAAAACACTATTATTACCCCAGATAGATGTTCTAATCCTACTACTGTTGCAGAGGGCCTTCACACAAACACACACACACGTGAAATATTGGTTGATGGCAACGGTTAAATAAAAAAAAGTGTTGTTTTAAGATCATCTTACCTGTCGTGATCGTCTTCTTGCTGTGAAGAAAAAAAATGATAATAATTTTTGAAGGTATCAACAGTGGTGGAAAGAACATATTTTCATGAAGTATGAATAGCACGTCCTGGATTCATGTTTAAGTAAAAGTACAACGGTATGCAGAATGGTCCTTTTCAGAGTACATATCACATTGATGGAATACGTTTATTGATGCGTTTATGTGCTTATCACCTTGCCGCTAATAAAGGTAAGGCGGAGCTCATTTCAATGACTTTGTCTGAGGGACCCCACACTCACCTAAGTGCAGGTAACACAGCAGCACACACAGGGTGAGCAGCAGCGAGATGACAATGAAAAGCATCCAGCCGGTTGGCTCTGAGGAGAAAACAGAAAGCCAACATGACCTTTATATAAATGTCTATATACATTCTATAGCTGTCAGACTTTACAACCACCACGGCCCCTGGTAGACCCCACACACATATAACAACAAAGAATATAACACTCCTGTTGTCCAATACTACTTATGTGCAATATATATACAGTATATCTACCGTAAAAAGCTGTGCAATTTATATTATCAACTTGATTGACTTTCACCTGGCTGCTATATCGCTAAACTGTTATTGGTACTGGATGTGTATTTTGTAAATTGTGTAATTTCTAGTTTTTTACCTTCAAAACATGTTTTATGCATGCTTCTTAAGAGATATTAAACTGTCTTTGGCTCTTTGTTGTAACAATTGTACATTTCCCCTTTGTGGGACGAATAAAGGTATTCTGATTCTGATAAACATGACGTTAGGGTCAGATATGCTTCTCTGCTGCCATTCAGTGGTAGCTCACAAAACTGCAGTGTATTAGGTGTTACTAGTGTGTTATGGCCCGACGGGGGCTGCTACATTATGGCAAAAGTCATACAAAATATTATTTTGGTCAATATTGACACATTGAAAAAATTGACCATATTGCTCATTGACTTCGCAAATATAATGTGGATTTTCTTGAAATACTTTTATATACATACATTATTTTTTTGAATATATATATACATATATAATGTGGATTCTTTTGAATATATACATATTTAAAAAGAGATCAAATATATATTAAAAAACATATATATATATGCTCGACAAAATACATATATGCACATATTTAAATAAATATATTGGTTTTTTTTTATGGATGAAATATATATATTTATAGATTAAAATAAATATATGTTGTGTTTTTTCATAAAAAAGATAATTCTGGTGTAAGCGCACAACTGTAAAGGAAAGGTTGGATGTACTGGATTAATAACACATCAACAAATTGTGTGATTAAAACAGAATGTGGCACAATAATCGTTTTATCCGGATTGTCTTGTTTCATAATCAATATCATCATTACAAATAAACCTAATAAGCTTATTAACTCAGCCCTCCTCCACTCACCCTCCACAGTCAGGGTGAAGCTCTTTTTGATGGGCACCCTCAGGGACTTATGGGATACTCTGCATGTGAACTCCCTTCCTGAGTGCTTGAGTGCAGCCTGCAGGTAGAAGAAGGCCGTCAGCGAGTACGTCTTGTCGTTGTTGTGTTTGTGGCTGGACAGCAGAACGTTCTGGAGCTTCTCGGGGAGAGGAGCGCCCACCCTCTGTCCCGCCACCGCCGGGTCCTGCATGTACCACCCAATCTCCACATCCAGAGGGTAGTAACTGTCTGCCTCACATGTCACCCTCTGCTCCCCGCCCTCCAGCAGTATCAGAGTGGGTCCAACGTTGAGGGAGACCCTGGGAGCCTCTGAGGAGAGGAGAGAATAAAGTCAGATCCTCTCAGCAAAAGGGTTCCATTATGAGTTTGACTCCAGCTGCCAATCTTGAGTGCAAAAGCAAGTATGTTTTAGGTGGTACAGTTACTTCAATAGAGTGGTGCAGGGATGACGTGATTTTATAGGCCGACTCGAAAGTTAGCATCGCAAGGGCTCCTTTGACAAAAAGCATCGGATTGTTTTCGGATTTTGGTGTATTGCAGAGAATAACATCTGAGGCAAATGCACGTTTATGATACTTAATACGTTTTGTTTAGCAGGATAATCTCCATATATTAACACCACTTTGTGATTTTTGAAGCATAAAGCAATCGCCAGAAGTAAAAAGCTAACGTCATGCTATTCACAAACTACTGTACATCAGGGTCACATGGCTGCACATCACCACCGCTAAGCTAAAGGAGGACTCGTGTCAGCGTGATGATGTTTAGTAGTCTCATTTAGTCAATGATTAGCAACCGCCGTTTTCAAGACACATAGCTTTCAATATTCATGAGTTGAGTATTTTATTTTCTGAAGTATTTTATGTTTTAGAACATAACTGGAAAATATTGTAAGCTAGCCAAAACCTTGTGATGTTTCTAACTACAAAGTAACACAATAAAAAAAACGTTGACTTCGAGAGGATGAAACCGGGGGAAAAATGCTTACTCATTTCTGGGTTTTAGGACTCATTCTTGCACCACTGAATTCAGTGTCAATACCATGTTTGTACATTTAATATAAACTGGTGTGAATACAACTGTTAGCTTAGCACATCACTTGAAACAGCTAGCCTAGAAGAAACATACAAGCAAAGCAGGCAGCACAGGTATTTCATTGTAACTTAGTTTTGTCTGTCACTGTAAATTCCCTCTCTTCTTAAGTCATTGTCACATTGTTTTTATTATTATATATATTATTTATCCCTGTGACAAAAACAGTCCAAAACAGGCTTCCCTACCAATTACTACGGTGACGTCACTAGTGCTTTCACTGAAAAGTTGAAATATTTTACACTCGAAGCGCTCGGAAGGGACACACAAACAAGGTGAAGCACTCGCTACCGACGGCATGGATTGGAATCATTGAATCATCATTGGAATCCATTTTAAAAGAATGCTGGCAAGTTGCAAGTTTTCTTATTTCTGAAACAGATACTCTTTAACTATGAAAGATTCTTCACATTTATCCTTTTTTGTCACACAGAAAAACAGACGTTCATTTTATAACTCACATTATTAATAGCCCAGAAATGTCAGTCTGGTCTGATCCTCTCTTTGACTCTTCCTTACCTTCGATTTGCAGAACAATATCCATACTGACGAACAGTGGAAGCACGGACACTGAACAGATGTACGTCCCTTCACTGCTCAACTTGGTGAAGGGAAGGGTATAGGAAGCGTCCCCGTCTGCCAGGCTCCTAAGTACGACCCCGGACCCCTTGCTCTTTTCTGAGCGGCTGCTGTGATTGAAGAGGCTGGTTCTCTCTCCACGCTGCTGCAGGAGCCACTCCACATTGAAGTTTGGTCCATGGTGGTCGACAGCAAACTGGCAGTGGAGCCTCTGTTTGGAGCCCAGGCCTGCTCTCACTGATGGAGTTAGTGTTTTCATTACCATGGCAGCTATGGACACGGAAGAGACAAGACACAGGCACACACTTAGTTCTTAAACCAAAAAATGGCCAGCATTACATTTCAATATGGAACTGACGTTAAATTAGAAGTTAAAAGTGTTATTTGTTGCATATCTTCAAGGTGACGAGAGAATCCAAAAACAAAGACAATTTCTTATGATTTTGAGTAAATGGGGACAACGTTTCACAGCAACAAAACGTTATCAAACCATCCATTTACAAACCGTCAGAAACTCATGCAGTATCATCACAGTCTCATATGCTCAGTACTACCCAAACACATGCATTTTCACTGAAACCTTGCTATTCAAAACACAACAGTACTGATCTTGGAGTTCACTGCAAGAGTGTTTAAGAGTAATTTTGATTTTGTTAATTTTGGCCCCCATTCACTTCCACTCACAGGACTTTTTCTCTGATTGTGGATTCTCTTTTACCGAGAAGACATGCAATAAGAACAACATTTCCCTCAGGATTTGAAGGTAACAATAATAATTCATATCTGTGTTTTGTGCCTCTACTGTGACATGTTTACATGCTTTAATGTTCAGAAAGCTCTTTCTCATTCTGCCTGTGCTTCAACACCTGTTTTCACCCTCTTTCTGAAACCAGAGCCCAGTATCCTCTGATTGGTTAGCTGGCATGCTCTGTTGCGATTGGCCAACCGCTTAACCCTCCTGTTGTCTTCGGGTCAAATCTGACCGATTTACTACTTTCATCAATCATAACTTTTTTGTTTTAGATTCGATTGCATTAAAGCTTTATGATATCCTTCTAGGGGTGTTGAAAATAATCGTTTCTACGATGCATTGCGATGCGGACGTGGACGATTCGGTATCGATGCAGTGACGGAAGATAATCGATTATAGCGTAGTAACGTTGCTTCCATATTTTCTGGCCGCGGCTTTACTATAACGTTTTTTTTTCTGTCACTTTAATATCAAATCGGTCGGTGACGCAGAGATCAGGGAACAGACGTGACAGCGGCACAGCTGCACAGCAACACCAAACACGGAGCAGTCTGCTTTATCCACCAACACAAGAACACCAGTCCAGAACCAACAGCAGAAGGACCCGCTCTGAATCAGTCCGTGTCGCTGCGGCTCAGAGACACAGGGATTTATGTTTTTTAAAAATACTCACGTAACAATCATGTCAGGTTTTTGGTGGATTTAATGAAGTCTTGGATTGCAGAGTATGAATGTCCTCTTGCTATTTTCAGACGATATTATACGTGTGTTTGGTGTGTAAAGTTTGTGAAGGCAGGAGGAAAAAAGCTTCCGCGATCACCGTCTCCTCTCCGTTCCTTCGAACCCCGCCCCCTCCCTGAAAATAATGAGTGACAGGCTGATAGTGACCTGATAGAAACTTTATTATTCACTTAATCACTGATTGAGATATAATGAAGCTAACTTAATCTCATACATTCATGGGATTTATGTAACAGTAAGACAGAGAATGTAAGTGTGCACCCACATGCAGTATTTGAAAGGGTGTTAAATGAAATTTGGTGATGATTAATGGTTTTTGTGTTAATGTAATAGCAGTTCAAACAGGACCGGTCAAATTTGACCGCGAACACCAAAGTAAGGGGGGGAAACGAAGACAATATATTGGGTTAAAGATGTCCCGTCCCTTAGCTTATCACGTACAATGTGTTGGAGTGCTAGCCAATAGAAATTTAGCGGGTAAAGTCTTTCTTTAACTGTGTGAAAACTCCACCTTTTGAGTGGTTGCTAACATGACGTTTCGAGCAGATCTCATAAGATCCATGAGAGTGTCCTATAAACATCATTACCATGATGACGATCTTGATGAATAAAGTTGTACCAAAACTTTCACTTGTGAATTTACAATACAATTTTGCATCCCAAAATGATTGAATAGAAAGACATGTGTTGAGTGTTACTTGTTGTGACGAGCATCTCTTTGTCCCCGATGGGAGTCCAGCTGTTGTAGTCCTGCTGTCCCGGGGCTGCTGTGTCCGATGGGTGTCTGAGGAAGCCTGTGATTCTGAACAGGCCGTTGGTGTGTTTCAGGGTGCAGGTGAACCAGTGGTTGTACTCCCGGGCCCCCAGCGCTGGCCAGCGAACATGGATGCCCGCTGTGCTGTACCTACGCAGCTCACACTCCAACTGCTCAGCCTCCACTCCCTCCAAGTATCGCCGCAGGTCCAATTTAGAGGCTACAACACAAAAGATTACATTAGAAAACAATAGATTTTAGTCTGTAACTCAATAGGCTGCAGGTCTTACCAGTAATCAGGAAAGTGATCCCATGTGGATTAACAGCAGCATCTCCTATTTGACCAAACTGCAGCAGGGCCTCTCTGTGGATGAGCTGAGTCTCTGTGTGACCCTCTTCATTCTTAAACACGTGTTCATCAGTGAACGGACAGGGCAGCCATGACACCTGATGGACACACTGCACACCTGAGAGACACAGAGGGAGTCAGTGTAGTTCACAAACATATAGTACAGTATAATGTAGTGTTAGCAGGCTTGGGGAGTAAGGAATTTCATGTAACAGGATTTATGAATCAGGAAACGAAAAAAGGTCACTATTCCCTTAAAGTTACATAAGTAAAAGACGTAATCAGATTACTGTTACATTAAAAAAAAATTGGGGATTATTAGCAAGACTACAAGGTTACAATACATTTTTTAAATGAAGAAACAATATATAATTGTTTAGACTTCACGAGAATTACAACACCAAGAGGCACACGTCTCGATAGAGCCTAACTGTATGTATTAAACAAAAACAAAGCATTTCCTATTTGCTAAGGTTTTTATTTATGCCTTTTAAACTGTAGTATGTGTTCATGTGTTTAATTGTTGGTCGATACAGCCTGAATTTGTTGGAGGAAAACTTTAAAGAATCGCTGTGCAGAGGAAAACAAAGTATCTTGGTTTCTTCCTTTTTAAGTTGACATTGTTCTGTTATCTTACATAATACATTTTTTTTTCTTTTCTCGTCTTTATTTGCATTGCATTAGATATTAAGGTAATCCAAAAGTATGTTTTATGGTGATCCTTAGAATAGGGTACTACAGATTCCTTTCCAGAGTTTTGAGTACAGTATATTGCAGAATAACAAACTTAAATACAGCGTAGTATAATATAGGCTTCTGAAAATGGTTCCTTTTGCATAGTATATTACAGTACAGTTTAGTATAGTGTTTAAAATCGTATACACATTATTTAATTATAGTACAGTATAGTACAACATAATACACTATAATGAAGAGTAGTATAGTGTAGCACAGTATAGTATACAGTAGTATAACACATTTAAGTATAGTACAGTGTTGAACAGTAGAGTGCAAAAAAGTACAACTCTTTTTTTTTTCTGGGGTCTAAAAGTCAGATTTATCTAGAAGTTAAAATGCATGCTGAGTACTTTGTCTAAATTTGACTGAAATGTGCTCACCACACCTCCCAGGATGCAAATTGCCCTCACCTGAAACAACGGCCTGTTAACAGGTTTAACCAGGGATTTTTAGTCTTTGCAGTCCAAAACATCCAAACTAAAGTTCAGTATTGAAAGCTTGAAATTAGGTTTAACCCATGGTTTAACCTTAGCAGAATTTACAACAATTCGCAACAACAGAGTTCAACAGAAGAACGCTTGTAAAGCTATATACTCGTATTTTAGGCAGTGAAAAAGTCAGACTTATCCAGAAGTGCAAATGTACTATAGGCTACCTGTAGTAGAGTACATCATAGTAGAGTATAGTAGAGTAGAAGAGTGTATAGCACAGTTTAGTTTACTGATAGTATTATATATATAGTATTGTGTAATATAGTCAAATACAATAGTAGGCTGCAGTACAGTACATCGTAGGAGTATAGTAATTTCATTCATGATGTATGGGCTAATTCACAAGCCAAAATATGTAAAAAAGCTAAAGAAAATAACTTACCGGCACAAAGATACAAGAAACTAAGTATTTTTAAGATGAAATACATGATCATCTATTGGTAGAACTATATACTTGCTGCTCGAGCCCAACAACGACTTCTCTACGGTTGAAAATTGACTTTCACTTTCATTTCACAGGGAATATGTCTTGCTTTGCCTGCCTCTTACACATCACGTGATTGAATGTCACTGAGAAGACATTTTCTGATGTTTAAGTGGGTGCATTTATAATCCGTGGATAATAGTCCATTTGTTTTTCTTTATTAAACAAGTAAACGGAAGAGCGTCTGAGAGGCGTTTTTGCTTTATGCTTTTTACCTTACTAATCTGGTCAAATGGTCCTTGGAGCGAGGGGCGGGGCGAAACTCACGGAAGTGATTTCAAAACAAAAGCACTCGTTTTCTTGGAACGGTGATAATATTATAAACAAGGGGGAAACAAGGTGAATTTAGCGATCACAACGAAAACGGCCAAGACACATATTGAGCCCAGAAAATGAATGTTATTACGGGCTGTAAATATAATAAGCCTGTGTCTAAAATGGATAACTTTTACGGTGTACTTTGTGAGTAATCCTCTGTCAGAGTCCCCTCCATAATGCATGTTTTCTGCTATATTTGATGAGTGATAAAAAGACAATTTTACCATTAGTTCTTAATGATATTGATACTGCTGGACTAAGTAGTCTTACACCTACTACCACAATACAATGAAGTACTTCTAGTGTGTTGTTTAAAAAATCCTCTGTCAATGTCCCCTCCTGAGAACAAAATCAAGCCACTTCTGCTAAGTTTGTTGAGGGAAAAAAATATGTTTGCCATTAGTTCTTCGTGAGATTGACACTGTTGGACTCAGTACTAGTGAAACTACTCCCACAAGTACTATGAAGTACTTTTACTGTGTACTTTTTGAGTAATCCTCTGTCAATGTCCCCTCCTGAGTACAAGAATGTTTCTCTGCTATTTTGAATCAGCGTTAAAACACCTTTCTTCATGAGACTTATATTGTTGGACAGAGTATTTTAAGAGGATATGACATGATATCAGCAATACTTCCAGTCAGTACTCCGGCAGGAGCATTTTTACACCTTGGAAAGTCTTTAGAGACTGGCCTTCAGCAAAGTGACAAACCCCTACTCTTGTTGGCCTCTTATGAATGCTGTCTTTTAAATAGGACTATTTCTCTACTCCTAGTTCATTCCTCGCAGATTCTTCCATCAGTCCCAGTCATCGCATGTCAGTCAATAGAGATTCAAAAAATGTGTCCAATTCAACAAAATGTTTTTTTGTGAGTGAAGGTCAGAGCTAAATTATAGAGTGTTTGATTGTGTAATTACAAGGTGAGAGAAAACAATTCCACATCCTCCTATGAAACGTATTTTATTTCCTTCAGAAGGAAATAAAATACGTTTCATAGGAGGATGTGGAATTGTTTTCTAGGAGTAGAGAAATAGTCCTATTTAAAAGACAGCATTCATAAGAGGCCAACAAGAGTCACAGGGGTTTGTCACTTTGCTGAAGGCCAGTCTCTAAAGACTTTCCAAGGTGTAAAAATGCTCCTGCCGGAGTACTGACTGGAAGTATTGCTGATATCATGTCATATCCTCTTAAAATACTCTGTCCAACAATATAAGTCTCATGAAGAAAGGTGTTTTAACGCTGATTCAAAATAGCAGAGAAACATTCTTGTACTCAGGAGGGGACATTGACAGAGGATTACTCAAAAAGTACACAGTAAAAGTACTTCATAGTACTTGTGGGAGTAGTTTCACTAGTACTGAGTCCAACAGTGTCAATCTCACGAAGAACTAATGGCAAACATATTTTTTTCCCTCAACAAACTTAGCAGAAGTGGCTTGATTTTGTTCTCAGGAGGGGACATTGACAGAGGATTTTTTAAACAACACACTAGAAGTACTTCATTGTATTGTGGTAGTAGGTGTAAGACTACTGAGTCCAGCAGTATCAATATCATTAAGAACTAATGGTAAAATTGTCTTTTTATCACTCATCAAATATAGCAGAAAACATGCATTATGGAGGGGACTCTGACAGAGGATTACTCACAAAGTACACCGTAAAAGTTATCCATTTTAGACACAGGCTTATTATATTTACAGCCCGTAATAACATTCATTTTCTGGGCTCAATATGTGTCTTGGCCGTTTTCGTTGTGATCGCTAAATTCACCTTGTTTCCCCTTGTTTATAATATTATCACCGTTCCAAGAAAACGAGTGCTTTTGTTTTGAAATCACTTCCGTGAGTTCCGCCCCGCCCCTCGCTCCAAGGACCATTTGACGTTTTAGTAAGGTAAAATCATAGGGTAAAATGCAAAAAGCAAAAACGCCTCTCAGACGCTCTTCCGTTTACGTGCTTAATAAAGAAAAACAATTGGACGGTAGATACATGGATTATTTATGTTGAAGACACACATACATCGCTAACGTCCTTATTACAGCTAATTCTGCAATGAGTTATTATTATTTATCAGGTTTCGTTTTTACACCGCGCCACACTTGCAGTACCGGCCTCCTCCTGCGGTGTCGCTGTGAAGATGTCTGAACTCTGCGGGTCCCTCTTCATGTCACCACACGTTGATGTGACCAGCGGAAGCGCTTGATACAAAACTGTTGACATGCTTCTAAAATCGTGTGAAAAACGAATTATGTTAGCAGACTTTATCTGTTTGTTATGCTATACTCCGGTATAATGTGCAGAACTGGTGGTTTTGTGAAATAAATACTGACCGCCTGTTGTGGTACAGCTCATGAATGGGAATTGAAATACCGAACTAAATTAGCACAATAGCTAACCTGCGAACTAACTTCAGCAGTTATGGCATTGATGGACAAAGGTAATGTACACCTTATACACCATATAGACATACACAAATGTATTAAATATTGTAAATGTGACACTGCAGTTTATTCAAAGTCTTTAAAGCTTCACTCATTATCATAATTTGAAACGCAATGTGCAGAAAATAAAGGGAAATACAGTATGTTCTTTCATAAAATTGTCTTACATTTTGCTATTAATAATGCGACATATGCAAAGCCTAATTGCAAACAGTTTAAAAATAAATAAATGGTTAATGCTGTTTTCGCCTGAAAAATATGTTAAGAAATATTTTATCATGTTCTATATTTTGATAGAAGTTATCTTTAACATGTATTGTTCTACATCAGAAATGCAATATTTGAATAATGGATTAGTCAAATTACAGATAATGAAGTAAGGGATAATGTTATTGACCCTATCCCTTTTCTAATAATGCAGCTGCTTTCATTTGTCATTTGATATTAAACTGAATATCTTTGGATAATTAAGAGTAAACGCTAAACAATAATAAAATCCATGCAGCTAGCTTGGGCTCTTATTTGTTGGTCAAACAATGAATTGAGACCAGATTATCTTCCTTCTGGGAGCTAACATCCAGTGTCAGAATTGGATGTGTACTTGTGAAAGATTGTATTTTTTAATTGGTATTGATGCTTGCTTTCTTGTGCTTTCAGATTCTGCGGTTCTTCAGGGTGCTTTCCTCCTGGCTGATAAACTGTCTCTCCCCTCGTCCCTGTCCTCCCTTCAGAAGGCTGACTGGAGCAGGGTGGGCCATCTGGTCCTGGAAGCAGTGAGGGAAATCTGCGGACAGGAAGAACTCGGTGTTCACCTCCCTGCAGCGGCTGTGAGCTGTATAAAGAAATTAGTTTGTGCTGTTTGGCTGAAGGTGTTATGCAGGGAGGCTGTAACGGACGTAGAGCTGTCCTGGAGGGAGAACCCTTTCTTCCCCCTCCAGAACGGCCTCCCCGAAGTCAACTATGTTGTCCTGCTGGAAGTGGTGAGGTCGCTAGCAGCTGCTCCTATATTTGCCCGTTTCCTCTTGCATCTTCCCCAGTCTCAGATCGCTACTGAGCTTGAAAGGTTGGTGCAACACGTGAGGTGCGGCCCCACTAGAGAGGACGATGTTCGATTTCTCCTGGAGGTGTGGTGGGAACTGTGGAAAGGGCAAGATGAGCAGAAAGAGGAAGGAGAGGATAGCATAGAGAAGACGTTTGCCGGACAGTTTGCTCGGCTCTCGTCTAAATCTTCCAGTCTTTCCCCTCAGGCTGCCAAGAGGCTCAAGCTAGACGCTTCAGATCTACCTGCATCGCCGCCAACCGCTGATGTCGTAAACATCCTCCTTCATGCACTTAAAGACATAAAAGATAACATATCTACAACAGATCTCTGCCTCCAGGCTCTTTCCATTGCTCTAGATACTCTGTACACGGCCTTCCTAATAGACGGAGCAGTCGTACTTCCTGCGATAGAGAAGATGCATATCCTGTCAAAAGTGGTCAGCATCAGAGAACAGAATGGCGAGAAACTGACTGCTGAACTTTTAAAGGAGGCTCTGAGAGACCTACATGCGTCTCACACACCATCTCAGTTTGAACCCACCAGGATAAAGCTTGGTGAAGCCTTGAAGATTATAACAGATCTGGCTCAGTTCTGGCAAAGCAATGGGCTCCTGGGCACCTCTGAATCTAGCGGCTCAGCATTTAAACTAGAACAAAGTGTCCAGAGAGTCCTGACGGGTCTACAGGAAGCCGAAGCGCCTGAAACTACGAATGAAATAGACCTTCAGAAGTCTGAGAAAAACATTCTCAGAGGTTTCCTGGAGTCACTATCTTTCCCCGCCGCAGAGAGCACCCCTGAGCTGAACGCCCGGGTAACAGCAGTCATCATCAAACACCGTCTGGACGACTACCAGAACTTCGCAGAGTTATTTGCCAGTGAGAAGAGTTGGGCCGCCCAAGATGAGCTCTGGTTCGACTGCCTGGAGAAGAACCAGGCAGCCTTCCAGCGGCAGGAAACAATGATCAATCTGACCTCCACCATCGTGAGTAAACTCCACAGCGAGAGCTCCAACGTGAGCCAGTGCAGGAAGCTGATGAAAGTGGTTGCGGACATTTTCTCAGCACTTTCACTAGAAGACAAGAACAAAGCATTGGCTGCCATGCTGAGACTGTCCAGCCGGGGCTTCTTTGGCGGCTCCGTCCCCTCCGCGGTGACCGTCGCGTTCGAACAGGAGCTTAACATGGCCTTCAACTGCATCATCCAAGGGAGGGGCGGAGCGTCGGCAGCAGCGTCGCAGGCCAATCTTAACACAGCAGTGTCTTTGGTAGCTCGAGTCGTGTTCCAGAACCCTGAAGCCGCTTTGAGGTCTTGTTGTCATTCCGCTGTGTTCAATAAAGGTGCTTTCACTCTGATGGCCAAGATCCTGCAGCAGCTGCCAGGACTCAGAGGACCGAGGGGAAGAGAGGATGACCTACAA